GAAGATGAAGATGAAGATGAAGATGAAGATGAAGATGAAGATGAAGAAGGAGATCACCAAACCCCTTCATGAGCCCGCATCAAGCGAACCTCACGATGGGGAAACTCAAAGCCCAAGCAAGTACAAGCTCCAAACTCCAAAACGCCACAACACCAAAACGCCAAAACTCCGAACGCCAAAAGGAACTTAACTCTCGCCCCCCCCGCCTGGGTTACCCTCCTTGAACAACCTCCTCCTCATGAGTAGAACACGATCCCACTCCACATCGACCCAGTTCTTGTGCCACCGCCCCCAAATCGGACTGATCGAGCATAACTGATCATACCTCATCAGAGAACGGCGACCCTTCTTGACCTGGCCCGCGTATCGCCTCACGAGGAAGTACTTGGCCACAGGACCAAAGTCTTCCCAGCTAAGCGTGGGGTGATCAACAGGCGCAGGCAAGTAGTCAGGGTACCATGGGTCAGGAGCGGTGGAAGCCGCAAAGCTTACGTGGTAGGTGGTTTTGGTTTTGAATCCCTTGAGGGTCAGCGCAAAGTTTTTTGAAAACATGGTCGGAGCGGGCCAGAGCTACAACGAGATGGACTCGACTCCTAGTTGGGCGTATGCTTGAATCTGATCCTGGTATGGGGTAAGATTCAAAGACGCCCGGGGGGGGGGGGGAGAAAGAAGAAGGGAGATTGCAGAGGGAGGGGGGCGGTATTTGTAGGTCTGGCGGGTGCGGGCATCAACTAGGGACAGAGGTTTTGCGTCACCGATCGGTGTGCGAAAGTTTGGTTCACGATGTTTAGTTTGTGGTGTTGTCGTCTACGATGACGTCCGCGCCATAGTCCAGAGCAGTCGGTGGTGAGACAAAGGGTCTGGCTTAGGACTCAACAGAGATAAGGGAGAGTGTTGTACCAATATCTGAACTCTGCAATGCGAATCGTGTGCTTAAAACCGCTAAGCGCAAAGCTTGCGGGTTCCATTTGGCTGCAGCTGCGTAATCTAAATCTACAGTGCGCTCCTAGCACCGCAGAGTCTTGCTCGACGTTCTCACCGATCCGCCCACCCGACGTCTCTTGTGCACACTGATGTGCCTGCCGCTTAGCCGCATTCAGTAGCGCTGCTCCAAGTACGATCGAACTGCCTTCAGTTGCGATCCTCCACCGCCAAAGTCGGACGGCATTCGCAATTTCCGCAGAACCCAAGCGCCGACACCGGCTCTCAGTCTACCGACCCAGCTCAGCCCCATCGTCACACGCGTAAGTGCTTGCGCGGAAATGCGCTCACGATTCTTTGGTTCGAACACTTCGTACCGTAATCCGCCAACGTAGAGCCGCAGTCAACATCGTCAGCAACTGCGCCCTTCGCAGGATCTGAGCGCCGACACGGATCACCACCGCGGGCAAGAGCAGTCCAAATCGGCGAAATGCAGTAAATCGCGCAAAGTGAGCTCACGATCTTGGGGCTGTGGTGGTTGGTTTGGTAGGGTCTAAGGGTCGAGCCACACTTTAGGATCGCCAGGGTGGGGATGTGGGGCGGGTCGGGGGATCTACGCGGCCCGACGCGTGGGTTGGGGGTTCTAGGCAGGGATATGTGGGACCAAATTCCTCGATTCGGGGTTGTGGTATCGGAGGCCTACTTGTGTCTTCTTCGTGCCAGGCAGGTGCATTGGTGACGTAGATCGGGGTTTGCCGCGAACCGAAGCTTCTTTTGGCGGCGTTCGCGTCAACCAGAGCGCAAAGTAAAAAGCCTCAACACAGGAGGACGTCATCCCGCGATCTTCGTAAACTTCGAGCGCCGATCCCGGCCCTCAACGCAGCAGGCGAGATGCACCTTATCAAGGGCAGGCGTAATGGCTTGCGTGGAAACGCGCACGATATATGACGCAGGGCCATGGTGCTGTAAGGGTCCAAGGGCCGAGCCACATTTCAGGGTTGCCAGACACGGGCGATCGCGCGGGATCGGGGTAGCGTGCGGGACCCATCGCGTACGTTGGGGGTTCTAGACCTTAGTCTGTGATCGCGGAGTTAGCATTGCGGGGAATCGTGGTGGGACTAACTTCCTCAATTTGCGGGCGCGTCATTGGGGTAGCGACTTCTCTTCGTCTGTGACCGGCGGGATCTCTGGTGATTTTTGAGTTAGTTAGGAATCAGAATTCCCCCTGAAAAGAGTCTGGTGTCAACAACGACACAGCAAAAAAGGTCGATAGGCAATAGGACGCGCGCACCATAAAAAAAAACGGAACGCTGAATGACCAGGTAAACTAGCCAATGCAAGAACCGCCCGCCCATCCGGCTGCAACTCCGTGCCATGCGCCGTAAATCGCTGATGCAGAAACACAATGCCCGCACAGACAAGTAATTTATGCGACAGAGTACACGTCCAACGCCGACACGCAACCAAAGAAAGCCACCCGCTGCACACGACACAATTTCCCACAAACCACACGCACATACCACACACGTAACGCCGAACTCGCTATACGCCGTCCTGTGTGCGTCATAAGCCACGCCATGGGAGCCGTGGGGCGGTGCCTACCGTTGGATCCGGCTTGAATGCGTGGAACATTGCAATTGCGTCGCCCAGTGTCCGCGCAGATAAGGGCGGATCTGCGATTTGATCAGCGCTTTGTGGGTTCGAGATGTGCTCTGCCTGTGAAGGACTTCCTCCATTCTGGGACATTGCAGTAAGGTTAAGACTGAGAGTGCCAGTCGGCTGCGCAGGACCTCCTTCATTCTGGGATATCCCGGTAAGATCGTGGTAGGAAGTGTAAGTCGGCTGGAAATGCCCTCCTCCATTCTGGTGAGTTCCAGTGAAATCGTAATTGGGAGTGCCAGTCGCCTGCGAAGGACCTCTACCATTCAGGCGCCTTCCATGAAGATCGTGAAGGGGAGTGTCCGTCTGCTCTCGCTGGACAGGCGTTGCAGCCCCCGTAAGCTCAGGCAACGCACCGACCGGCCCAGCAGCCGGCGTACTCTCAGGCAACGCCCCTGTCGGTCCAGAAGCTTCTGGCTTCGGCTCATTCTGCTGTTGCTGGTTCGGTGCATTCTGCTGCTGCTGGCCCGGCTCCCCCTCCTTCGGCTCCTCCACCGGCTTAGCCACCGCTTTACGCATACTCGCCAACGCTGCCGCCTTCAACTCCTCATAATGCTCCTTATGCTGCCGGATATACTCCTGCCCATCCGTCTCCTTCGGCTTCTTCACCCGCGCCGCCCAGCCCCCCTGAAACTTATCCCACTCGTCCAGTTCGCGCAGTAACTGTCCCCGCGGTTTCGGGTGCTCAGCGTCGTTGTTCGCGTTGAACATGTTCACCCACTCGACGTGCCGGCGCATCATCACGTCGCGCGAGCCCCACGCTGGGATCCCGGCGTTTTTGAGCTGGTTCCGGACGTGCACTTCGCTTTTCATGAGGCCGAAGTTGGCGTGGGCGAGATTCTGGGGTCGTTTTGTGGGGGTGGATTGGCTGGAGGGTGGGGGGTTGAATGCTGTCTTGGGGGGTGGGCGCTGCTGTCGTTCTGCTTGGCATTTGTCAAGATGCCCGAAGACATCTGCCTCCTTCATGCGCTTCGAGCAGATCGGGCATGGGACCAGACCGTCGTTGCGTTCCTCCTCCGGGCGGTATTCCTCGTCGTCGCTGTCGATGGCCACCTGAAGAGTCAGCCCCCATGAACCGTCGCAGCCAAGAAGACTCACTACTTTCCGCCTCTGCGTCCGCCTCGGCAACTCAGCCTCCATTTCCGCCTCAGTTGCATCGCGCTTCTTCCCCTTCTCCGACTTCCCCTCCTGTCGCGCAACGGCAAGCACCTTCTCCCTCACAGCCCGCCACGCCGCAACCGACTCCTCAACCGCCCAATTCCGGCGCAACTTGCTCACAGACTCCGGCTCGCGACACGCCGGACACTTCCCCTCCGCAGACAAGCTCTTGCGAATACACAGCGAGCAAAATGTGTGCGCACAGCTCGTGATCATGGGCGAGGTAAGGAAGTCGCGGCACACCTGACAGCGGAGGGATGTTTCGAGGCGCGAGAGGCCTGGCACTGTGGTCGACAGCCAGTCGGTGCTGTCTTCGACGTTTATGGTAGACATGAGTGGAGAATTGGAGGGCGGTGGCTTGGGCGTGGGAGGGAAGGGACTGCGCGGAGGGCGGTTGCGGCGGAATTTGTCGAGGTTCGCGTTAGGGGCGCGGGTGACGCGCGCTCCACGTGACGTGATTGAGTGGATGAGTCAGCGATTGGCGGAATGTTCGGCGACGTGAATGTCTGGGGGGAAATCGGACGACGAAGCTCTTCGCCACTGCAAAAAGTGAAGTGGAAGCTGAATTCTTACAGCTGACACAGGGCAAATGAGACGACAAGGCAAAAACGCAAAAAGAGAATCGACAACGGCAGGATTCGAACCTACGCTCCCGAAGGAACTGCCTTACTAACCCATGTGCTGGTGTATAGCAGGGCAGCGCGTTAACCACTCCGCCACGTTGCCTGGTTGATGGACGATGTAAGATTTTACTAATACTTTTGTAGACCAAAGTAGCTGACTGCCGAGAGTGCGACTGCCGTAGAGAATGGGTTGCTGTCTGGAAAGAGCCTTACGATTCTTGCAATGCGTATTTAGCCACTAGCCTAATGATCGACTTGCCTCCATAATGGCAGTAATGATATGAAAATGGTAGCAGGATAGCTATGCCGGCTCAAAGCCTCCAAGTGATGTGATGGATTGACAGCGATGACCAGATCGAGTGACTGGGCGAACTCGAAACAGGGAGCCAATAGGCGCTATCTCGAGAGACTCGCGTGACGTTGGATTAAGGTTTTAGCGCGAAGCCTCGTTCCACGCAGTCAGAACGGACTTCGGAGACGCGCCGGTCCGGAAGTTCATATTGACCTTCACCTTCGCCCCTGCTCCCCTCAACCACTTAACCCGTTTCCTTTCTCACGTTTATTCTCGTGTCTACACTTCTTACTGTGGTTTCCTCACTGTGCACGCGATATAGCGACTGGAAAACACCGAGAACACCTCTGGCCCCAAGACGAATAAAACCCGCTCTCGTTCGAGCGTGTTGCTGGTCGCGACGCTTCCAACAGTACCCAGAGGCCTTCGCCTGCGACAGACTTTGAAAGGAGTCTCCCCCAGCGTGTCATCGTGGGCGCAACACAAAACGGCCCAGGAGGAAGAAGAGGAGAAGAAGGCTGCTGCGTCGCAGACATGACACGCTTCACCATCCTGTATTGTCGTCGCTCCGATGGCAAGCTAGAGACCGGCACGCACGGAAAACGGGAACGCAATCAACCCACTGCCCCTCAGCTCAGCCAGAAGCCTGACGCGAAGGGCGTTATCAGCTACTACCGGGAGATCACACATGATGAGGCGAAGCACCAGGACTGGCGCCGCAAGCTGGCCGGCATGCTGATTCGCCAGTTGGGCGACGCCGAACAGATTGCTCGCGGTTTGTTTTCGTATCCAGTTGGAAAGCTAGGCTAATCGTCAGACAAAAATTTCATCCTCCACGATCTCCCCGAGAACTATCGCCTGTTCGAGCATGTCAAGTCCCGTTCTACCGAGGTCGACGGCAAGGTGCAGAAGAACCCGAAGACACACGCCGGAGGCGGACACGATCGTCAGGACGCATATCTCTACGGTCATCCCTTGGGTCGCAAGAAGCGTTACCGTAGCCCGGCGGAATTCTTCCCGCACTTGCTGTGGCTCTCCACCGATGAGACCGGAGATCGCAACAACTGCTCCTGCAAATTGTGTGCGCCTGATGATATCCAGCCGGAAGTGAAGGAAGCTGAGGGGGCGAAAGCCATGGTCGCCAAAAAAGACGAATCCAAAGCGCCCAAAAAGAAGGCCATGGTCGCGCTTCCGAACAGGCAAATCCCCACTCCCGAGGCCCCGCCCCAAGCGCAGCCTCAAGCACACCCTCCGGTCCAAGTTCCATCTCTAGCCCCCCAGCAGCGCTTCTCACAGGCTTCCCCCCAGGTCCCGCAGCATGCCTCACACTCGCCATCACCCTATACCCAGGTCCAAGGCTCCCGCTCCCAGACATCAACGCCTATCCACGCCACCTATGCCCAAGGCCAGCCAGCGACGCTCGCCGATACCCTGCGTGGTCAGATGGGCACCATGCCCTCGCCTATGGTTAGCCAGCAGCATCCCGCGCAACCCCAGCAGCGTCCTGCGCAACCCCAGCCGCGTCCGGCGCAACCCCAGCAGCGCCCCGCGCCGCCTACCCCGAGCCCATTGGCCCAACCCCGTTCTCAGGAGCAGCAACTTGACCTTGAGTACGGTCGCTTCATTTACCGCGTGGGAGAATTGGTATGGTTCAACCGTGGCGATGCCTGGGGCCTCGGTGTCATCATGCGCCGCTGGTTCTATCACGCTGAAAGCCGGGGATACCTGGTGCAGCCGCTCTCGCACCCGTTCGATCAGTCGCAGCCTGCCGTCGTCATAAACCTTGACTCTTACCTTCGGCCGTGGCTTGCGTGGAGTGCCCCCAGCTTCACGACGGACAGGCTCAATCAGGTGGCCGATATCTCCTACGATGCGCTGAAATGGGACCTTCTGCTGAAAGGGGAGCTGGGGCCGGGCGACCCTGTCATTGACGCGAGCATACTTGCCGCGAAAGCCATCGACAAGTCCTGGACGCCTTTTGAGTTGGTTCACGATCAGCAGAACTCCCCCTTCCTGTACTGGAACGGCGTCTATCTCGGCGGTGAGCGTCTGTGGGTCGGTGAGGCAGCCCGTCTGCGCATGGGTGGCGCTGAAGACGTGATCGTCATTGCCGCTATCATCGAAAGGGTCGAGAAGAATCAACCTTACGGCTTATCAGGGCAAAGTCCGATTTTCCTCATGGGCGATGTCTACACTCTCGCAACTGTTCCCGACGGAGCTGTCGAACCGCCTGACCAAGCTTCGTTGCCGCCGCGTATGCGTGAAGACGCCCGTTACCGGAACAGGGTGTCGACGATGTCTCCCACTGGCGCGCGAGTGTACTGGAAGCTAGTAAAAGCCAAGCTCCAGGTGGACTTTAGCAACATCAAGGGTCGGTGGTATGAAACGAGCTGCTTATTGCCCATCATCAAAGGCCAAGCGGCGTTTGAAGAAGCTGCTCGGCGGGGCGAGATCGAACCTGTGGGACCGCTGTTGAATGCTCGCGTCGATTGCGGCCCTTCCGCTGGGAGAAGGTTCGCGACCCGTCTTGAGGCGTTTGGGAAGGCTGTCCCGCAGGGTTCGAGGCTAGTCGATGGAATCGTGCCACCATCTGCGCCGCCTCAGGTCTCGGTGCCTATCTCTGCGGCTCAAGGCAGCGGCGAGGGCCAGTACTTTGCCGGAGAAGGCGGCGGACTGGAGGAGTTTGTCAACCTGGAAGGCGAGGGTTGGGGATTCCAGTAAAGGGTTGGGGACGGAATGGGTGGGAGGGTTTCCATCTCATATGACTACGGAGTCGATACGCCTTGGAATTCCCGGACACCTGGTAGCCTAATGAACTAGCCCGTGCGGAGAACCTCCGGGTGCTTTTTTGACCCCGACGGGACGACATCCATATGAACCTTCCGGTTCAAACCGCCCCGAACGGGATGTACAAGGGAACAAAGGGGCTCCCCACCTAGACCATCTTTCCTCCTCTACGAGAACCTCTTCGACTAGGCCGGAAGCGGCAAACACCATATGCCGTTATGTATGTTGCCGTCGTGCACTGACCATCGCCAAAACCTGTGACTGCAGCCTCCGCCGTCCTATAAATATCCTTCTCCTGCACCAATACTCTAACCTTCTTCCTACAACCTCACTACGAAGCTCCTCCCTCCAACCTCTGTCTTCTCTGCACCACCACATCGCATCGTCCTGCCCCTGCTCCTCCGGCATACCCTGATTACGATGGCCATTATGCATACGCACGAGAGCAAGCTGGGTGCATCGATCGCCGCGACCTGGGGTGCTCTCGTCAACGAATTCGAGTCTCCCATGTTCCAGGCAAGTAAAACGCCCACGAAAACCGGGTTATTTGCTAACACCTCCTAGACGTTCGGTCCCCTTGTCGATCCGAAGGTCGAACATCAAGTTCTCAAAGCGATCACAGCGCTGGTGGCCGATGACGACCAGGCCGGTAGTGACGTCCACGCGGCTCATGACCTGCCCGCGCGCTGCTCGGATGTCCTTGCGGAGGCTTGCGAGCAGCAGGCTCTCATTCGTGAGGCGCACTTGAAGACGAAGGAGACTGCTGGCGATATTTTCGCGATGCCGCTGATGATCATTATGATCAAACTTAATGGCGCGGTCGATCTTATGCGTCTTGCGATAGAGGCTGGTGGCGGCGAGACCGGCGCTACGGACGGTAGGATGACGATGGCGAAGGCCTGGAACCTGGTCAGTGTTCTCCAGCAGTGTTTGATGATGGATGAGGCCCAGGCTCGCTGGGTTAAGAGTCTCATCGGCGTTGATGCTCACGGCAAGGGGAAGGATGCGCCTAACCACTCAGGCAAGTCCTCGTCGTCTGTCGCATCTGCCGCAGAGGAGCCCGTCAACCCCGATCCTTTGAAGGCGATACTTGCTCCACACTTCTCCGCGTTGCAGAATCCCACCCCGAGCAATCAAGCCTCCGCTGCGTCGTCCATGGTCTCCGTCGAGGAGGCGTCGCCAGCCGTTTCGGAGCAGGAGCCGGTACCCGTCATGTCAGCGCAAGCTTCGTCTGCCGTGTCGATCGAGTACCAATCGCCGTCGCCTGTCAACAAGTACGAATCCCCGTCGCCCTCCATTTCAGCCAAGGAAGGCACGCCGGCTCCCACCATCTCCGTCCAAGAAGCCTCACCTCCCTACGAGCCCATCTCCATCACCAAGAAAGGCGGGCGCGTAGTCGCAGTCCACGATCCCGCCGCCTTCCGTCCTAAGGGCGGGCACTCGCCCTCGCCCTCGCCGGCGCTGAAACCGACGCTGAAGCTCGGCACCAACGCATCTCAATCTCAGACTAGCAACGAAAACGCCCCCCTCCAGTCCCCATCGGAGCTCAAACTCGGCACCGCCGATAACCCGGTCGACCTTACTTCTCCCGCTGTCTCGCGTGCCCAGACGCCGGAGTACGAGACCACGGAGTACGAATCCAGCGTTGAAGTGGAGATTATCGTCGACTTGCCACCGCAGCCGCACGGGCCCAAGCCCAAGCCTGCTCCGACGAAGCGCCCCTCGACTCCCTTGGTGGTGTTCTCCAGCAAGCCGGCTGCGACCCCGGCGAAGGCGGCTGAGGAGAAAGCTCTTCTGCCGGAGATCGGTGTGCCTCTCCGGCCGGAGGACGAGGGATCTTGGGACGATATCCAGACGGACTACGGGAAGTCGGAGAACGGGACGCCTCAGAAGCAGAAGCTTCTTGCGCCGGGTGATACTGCGTATGTCCCTACTTCGACTAGTAAACGGGGTGAGCGTGTGGTTGCGCGCTGGGAGAAGAAATCGAGTGAGGATTTGCGGGACTAATTGCGTTCCTGCTGTTT